GGTGGGGGGCGGTCGGAATTTTCCGGCCTCGTAGGGGGAATCCAGTCGGTCGGGGCGTGCGGCATAGGCAACTCAACCAGCGGCCCGACGGAGAAATCGACCGGACCGATAACGACGGGGAAAACGGCGCGAGCGCTCGTCGTCCTCGTTGGATATGAGAGAACACAAAAATAATAAAAACCTCTCCGCTCGATACGTGAGCGGCGCGCACGTTTCTCTGGCGTCGGAAACCGGGGAAACCTGCGGCACGCGTGCACGTCGACTTGTCTCTTCTACGGTTTTGCTTCCGACAGGACGCAATGTTTTGTTTTTAACGKTGTAACATAATATAATATACAATACCATTCGGGCAGGCACATAGATATTTGAATAAATTATGACAATAATACTTTATGATACAACATCGACAGCGATCTGCGGCAAGACCGAACAGGGTCCGAGTAGGCATTATGTTAGATGGGCAGACAATAGTACTCACTGGTGGCGAAAGACGATTCCACGACGGCTGCAGCAGCTGCAGCCGCTGTCTCTTCCCTGTGCAGCATCGTGGCCGCCCTGGACAGCACTTCCAACGGCGATTCACTTTCCATATCGCACGTCCTAGTCGCAATCGTATATTCGTCGTCGTCCGGTGTAGAGAGACGCACGAATGTTAACACACGATGACGGCGGTTATGATAATATTATTAATATTATTACGTTCGGGTAGTGTTGTGGTGTTGTTATTCGTATTWTCGTACGACACCACCAAACGATTATGATATTAAATATTAATAATAATAATAATAATAATACGTTAATAATTGCGAGACACTTGCGGAAAAGAAACGACCGGCRAGACGAAATGCGACAACAGTATTATTAATTATAACAATGTGCCGGACGACAGTGAATTAAGTTGTGATGAATATATTTTACGTACGATTCGTGTCGGACGGCCGCGGAGAGTACGAGATCCCGACCAGAGGACTTACCTGTTCTCAAACGGATTCGGTTGTGGTGTCCCGCGGGGCCGGGGAACGTCACTGCGGCATATACGTGCGCGCGCGCGCGCGCTCGCGCTCTACGCTGCGTGTATAATATCCGCTTATGTCAATGTGTGTGTTCGTGTGTGAGCGAGAGAGTGTGTGCGTGCTGCGGTTTCGACAGCGCGGATCGGAATGTCAGGAATGATCGGAATTGAGTTTTTTAAAAACGCGTTTTCGCCCGGCACGACGTGACGGCGGTGTTGTTGGGCCGGGGAATCGCAACCGGTGCGCCGCCTGGTGGCAAACACGCGCGACATCACCGCCGACCGCGGCGAGGTCACAGCCGTTCACCCGCCCGCCGCGCCGCCCGCAGAGAAAACGTCCACCGAGCGTATGCTTTTATATTATTATGGTCGTCGGTCATCGTCGTCGCCAACGCGAAAAACAAAAACAAAAAGCCCGTGCACATAATGTCAATGATAAATTGATAAATAATCATAATAATAATAATATTATGTAGCTCATGTCGATATATATTTGTAGTGACTGATTTTTGGAACAAGTGTTCCGAGGAAAATCGCATCCAGGAAAACCATAAACATTGACGAAGTCTTCGTAAACGGGAGCAGGGATTGTCTCGCCGGAATTTAAAAAGGCTGACGCGATCAAAATCAACTCGCTCGATTATCTTTCAGTCGATCGATTTATTTTCGATGTTCGTACAAGTATCACTCGCCTACATGCAGCTACACATCGGTACATTTMYAATTCCAGAGCAATAGCCGAGTACAATATTATAGTTTATATTTTTATAATATACGATAATTCCCCTCGAGCTGTCACGACGTTTATAATAACTATAAATCCATCCAAAAAGTAAAATTCCATGTGTATAATATAGTGCCTCTAGGCGCGCATGCGGTTATCATACATTTATATAATAATATACGWGCACGCCGTCAGACGCAAAGCCGCAGATGTGAAACCAAAGGAGGATTAAAGGGACTATACCGTCTATACCCCCCTCCCCCCAATTKACCATATTTTTATGAGCCTATATTATAATATTATGTTTAAAAAAAATGATTTTACAAAAACCCTATGGCCTCCCCCACATACAAAATTTCTGACTACGCCACTCTATACTTTAGMATTAAAAATATAGACGTTATAGTAATATAAAATATGTATTGACGCGCATTCGGAAACATACCTACTCGTACGAGGAAACGTATAATAATAATATACAGTAATGATGTCTGATGGTAGTGATGGTACTGATCTTTATGGCCAAGCAATAGTATATTTTTAATGTGATTTCGTGGTTAATATATAATTATAATCATTTAAAAACTTAATATCCATTATATAATGTCATAGATCAAAGCAAGTGGCCGGCTAATCRTCATGTACGTTACGTTTGTAAACGGAATGGGTCAATGAAATATACGCAAAGATCGCGTGTTCTAGAAATTCTTCAGAAACTCGTGTGTGTGTATATATTTATATTGTGTAGATATGTAATGTGTATATTATACATTTATACGTACTTATACGCCACCCGGATTTTAAAGAGAACGCAGYCAGTTCGCACGACGATTTGTTGGCGTGCTYATATATTTGCGGGCGGTAAATTTATTAACATTTCACAATGATGGATTTTTATAAGACCGCGCAGATAGTTACGATACTAATAATAATGCGACTATAATACTACTGCTCCATGTAGTTATGCAGTGCATTTGTATGATACATATAATGTTATGCGGACGTAATGTTAGCGAAGAATTTATTTCAAAACGATATGGTAATCAAAACAATAAGTCATGCGTCGTATATTATGTAGAATATAATATTGGTGAATAATAAAAGTATTATTATATCAATATTAAAATATACCCWAAACRAAAATATGTCCATCGTACTAATAATATGTAATGTAAAACAACTTTTGCCGTGTACTATGTGCGAATTCAGAAGAAACGAGATGCGCTGTAGATTTTGCGCATTGTTATTCATCATGCATATTTCGAGAAATAACAAGGCAATTTAAAATTGGCCAACCGAATTAAACTCTACACAGCGTATAGTAATAAATAATAATTATATTAATATTATATATTTAATAGGCATTTGTGTATGATATTAGTTACATCCGTAAATCGTTCCGACAAATATAATAATAAAAAAACCAACTTAAAGTATTTAAAATGTATGTATTACCTAATCTTAGCCTGATAAATAATATAATTAATATTAAAGTCTAAAAGTAATAATAGTTATTTATACTTATTTATACTTATTAAGTTACACTTTTGATGTACCTGCAATATATTATAATCAGATGTTTTAGTCATATGAATAACCACTACACAAACCTAAATAAACTAATACTTAATAGCATAATTTTATATGATAACAAATACTCAACGAATTTGTATCAATCGGTTAATAATATACGAGTACCTACTGCAAGTTGTAATAGTATTGTAATTGTATATTTGTATCACGAATTATTAACAAATTCCGTTGTACACGAATAATAACGCTTAAAATCAATATCAATAATTTTTACTTCTCAAAGTAGATATAATTACTAATGAGTAATTATTGATGGTATCATTATTCATTGTTATTTAATGCATTCATTTTAGCATACTAGAYTTTAGAATAAATTACCCTAGACATATTACATAATATTATATACAATCCCACAATAATATTATGTACCTATTATTAGTTTTGAACAATTTTCAAAAATTAATATTTATTGTAAAATATATTGTAATGATACATGTACCTACATTTATTATTATTATTATTATTTAAATCACAGATTACTTCGTATTAATAATGTTATATTGAAATATTTATATTTATAAACCATAAACACTATGTGAGCCAGTGGTTAAATTGGGGGAGGACGCAGAAGGACTGAGCTATTCTTCTTTTTTCCTCAAATTATAGCGTACCTAACGCTTTATTATATTCATCAAGGAATAAGGTTACTATTAAATTAATTTACTTAATTATTCAGCTTCATTTAGAGTCCACTTCTATTTTTTTTCCAATTCAACCACTGTATGTGGCCTTTATAAATATAATAATAAGCAATAGTATATCATAAATATTATATATAATATATATACAATATTATACAGTATAATAGTGTGTAATATAAACATTACACACAAATCACAATCTATTCACTACCTATGCTCATATGGACAATTCAAAATACCTTAGACGAAAAAACCAGTGTTATGCATTTTTCGGAGAATTTATAATATAATGTATATAATTATGTATTTATTACGCATATATTATGTTTTATACTTTACTACTTTATAGTTTATACTAGATGTGTGTATTGAATATATCAATAGGCAATAGYTCATTATAATAAATATTTAAGAATTTAACCTTGAGAGGTGAAAGATGAAAAACGTATTTTTTCATTTCATATAGCTTGGTACCTATATAGTGTGTAAAATACATAATTTTTTTTTCTGGTATTCAATTATAATTTATACGAAAAAAATTTCAAACACACTTACATATAATAATGGTATGAGAATGCATTTTTTAATTAGTTTTTTAAATTAATCCAATTAGATTATTTTCATAAATACGTATACCTACGACGTTCTTGATCGTTATTTTTTATAGTTTTGTGTATAGATACCTATACTATAATAATTTAAAATTGAAACTTCCTTTTTCATGAATCCAGTTGTGTTAATTATTTCTAGTTGCCTATATAATATATATGGTATGGGACCACAAATATATTTTTTCTCATTGTTATTATTATTTTTATCAAATATAACTAGGTCAAAGCTCGAGGCTCGCTTGTTGCCAGCAACAAAATATATAATAGTAACGAATTAACGAATTATGTACTAAACAACTGCAGTGTAGTATAATATATACATTATAAACCCCACGTCATATAGATACCTAGGTACTTGCTTAATTTAACATAAGTACTATAGAAAATTCAAGCTTATTTTTATACAAATGTGCATAATTAATAAAGTTGTATTTATTGAAAATTTTCAGATGGTTAAAATATTAGGATTAGGAAAATTTTGAAATATTTCAAATTTTAATCCTGCCAGTCCCTCTTATAGTACCAACTAATTCCAATTTTCTTATTAGAAACAACCTATAAAGTTTAAAATTGAAGCACTTAAGCATCTCCTAAAGGTGAAGTTTGTTACAAAAGAATAAAACACTCATCATAGCGTAATAATATCAATGTCCAATCTAGGTACTTATTACTTAGATATTAAACTTAATTTTTAAAAATATTCTTATAGATATTCTCGGGAGAAAGCTTGAATTCCACTTAGTCAATCCCCCCCCACCAATAAACTCATAAATACGATCCTGTCAACTGGTATATTTTTGTGCAGCAGTGGTCGCCTCGGCAGAATTTATACCACCGTGGTGTCATCACTGGCCGGGAAATACAATGCACCACTGCAGTTTAATACCTATTACAGTTTATACCTACATTTATCAAGTTTTATCGTTTTTTCGATACAATTAAATCTCTACAGAAATATACCATTTATTATACAGAATTTGCCCTCTAAGCTAACATGTCTAATTTTAGATCAAAATATGTTAGTGAATAATTAAGACTGAACATTGAATATTGCAATCGCAAAGTTCTACAGAACTTATTTTTACCGAAATATATTACTCAAACCTATATAGGAACAGTTGTTTAGTCGTATAAAATGYATGCAACTTAATTTTTAATAGATTCTGAACATATTTTTAGTTGAATCAATATACTATAGGTATAGATAAACAGTTGGTGCAGAAACTTTTGAAAACTGGATCATTTCATTAAAAACAATTTACGTGTGAATTATAAAATGTCAATGAACTTGTAAAAAATAGTAAACACAGGTTAAGAATAGTTTACACAGAATAATTCAACCACAAAAATTTGTAAAATACAATCAAGGTTGTTACATAGAAAACACCTGTTATGAGTACCTACCTATTTAGTCGAGAATGCTTTCAACATTCCATTACGATTTCTTTTTCTCAAATCGCATMCAAGGTTTTAATTTTTGCAACGTAAATGTTTAGCCCATAGTTCGAATAAACAAAAGTATTTCAATGACAACTATATGTATGCAGAAACTCAATAGGTAATAGAATAGGTATATTCAGATTTTGGATGAATGATGATACTGAAAATCCGAGATCCCAAAATGTTAACGATTAGTGACGAGGCACGTCTTAACAAAAAAATTAATGCTGTCAAAGGGGCGAGGAACGTATGACTCAGTGTCGTATTTCGAGGGGAACGACCCTTTATTGTATTGAACATTTTACTTACACACGGTGGCAATGTGACTGCATAGATGAGGAGGGTTTAACATTTAACTCAATTCAACATGTAAAGTTGGTACTGTTCTGTTTTATATGCCTTACCAATATTATTAAAACGCGAATTTCTGTGTAAATGATATATGTATTGATGTATAATATATATAATGTATAAATATTTTGGTATAAATTTCATATTTCTTTATTGTTTTAAATGAAAAATAATCACGTGATTATTATTATTATTATTATTTAAGAAATCACATTAGGTATATTTGATTGCCGAGTTCTGCAGTGAATACTAACTATTTCGTAACTAAACGTAGTATTACGTAACAAACTTAAGTGTAGGTTAGGTAGTATAGTATATACAATTAATTTTATGATGGAATTACAATTAGAATCGTTAGACATGGTAGGCAAAGGTATCTTCAAGATGGGGGGTTAGCAATGAAGGTAGYTTGTTGGTAAATGGTAATATGTAACTTTAAAAAAAAATTCCATACTTTTAGGTTCTGAGCGGAGCGAGGAACGTGTTGATTTTACCATATGTTTTTTTTTGTGTCTGTCATCACGTTTTGGGGCACTATAGTGCTTCGATTTTCGACTTCAGTACCTCGTTCGATTAGAAAGTGAATCTAGTTATATTTATTTTTCAAATAATCGGAATAAACAAACTAAAAATTAAGGGGAAAACGGGAAATTTTACGCACAATCAGTTTTCGACAAAATCGATTTTGGTTTTTGATGTAACTTTTTAAAAATGACCATAAATACATGCAATTTTCAATGAATGTTTATGTAAGTATGAATATCCACCATGCAATTTTCAAAAATTTTCGACATAAGTTGAACTATTTATAGGCATATGCAATTTTCGATCATTTTTAGTTTTTTTAAAATTAATATCGATAAAAATTTATTAGTTAGGTAGAAAAGCTTGAAAATTTAATACAATAAGGCTTCTAACATATTGTTACAATATATGTTGAAAAATAAAATAAATTTATAGTCACAATTTTTATAAGCATTAAAAGTTTGACATAATACGTACAAATCACAAGAATTCGCAAATTATTTTAAATTAGAAATTCATAAAAATTTTCTTTTTAAATCTAAGATTTGAAGATTTAATACAAGATTCCTATTACAAGTCTGTCAATCTTTATCACAAAACAAATGTCCACCAGAAATTTATATTAAATTTTTATGCGCGTTTGAAATTTAAATTTTTACATCATTGGATATTCACTAGAATTCTCATTAAGCGATTTTCTTTTTTTTGTATAACTCTAAAACAAATGACCGCAGATACTTGAAATTTTCACTTAATGTTTATTTAGGCATTTTCTATATTTGATAAAATTTTCAAAATATTATGATTTGTTTTAAGCTGTTTACTGACATTTTAATTATTCAACTTTTTTTCGTTTTGTTTTCTATAAATACCTATCCATAAAATGTATTTGTTGGGTAGAAAAGYTTGAAAATTTAATACAAGGCTWTAAACATGTTGTTATTTGTTAAAATAGCAGTTAAAAAACAAAATAAATATATAGGTAGTCACAATTTTTTTTTACAAGCATTTAAAACATACGTAAAAATCACGAAAATTCGCAAATTATTTTATGTTAGAAATTCATAGAAATTTTTCTTTTTAATTCTAAGATTTGAAAATTTTAAATAATCTATAATATATCCTAGATAGATAAACCGTATCAGCTCAGAATCGTTTTTCGTATACAATGATATAATATCATTGGATTCAAATTTAATTTCATCCATTACAGTAACCTTCTATTCACCTACTGTACATCAGAGCGACATTCACGACTTAACCGCTTTAAAAAAAATGTCTTTTGATATTTTAATTTTATAACAACTTATGAGCATTTTGAATCATTATATTTTGTTTTAATAATATTTTAGAGTGATAAATTCTATGCTAATAGGTAGGTACATGAAAATTTGTGATTTAATAATATATATATATTCGTATGATGTTATTAACACACATTAACAATAAAATAAATTATGAACATGGAAGTTATAAGTTATGGTATTAAATAATAGAAAAAAAAATAAAATAAATAATAAAATARGAAAAAAGGAATTAACATTTTGGAAATAATAATACAATACAGAAAATTAATTTAATAATATGTTGGGGATATGAAAAAATAGCATTATGTTCATCCTAGTCCCCAGAAATGAAAGTTATGTAATTAATATTCGTCATATGATAATAATATTATGTTTGTACGCTTAAGTTTAAAAAACTTTAATGGTAAACGACTTAATAATATGAGTAAATGTAAATACTAAACATACCTCAGCTCAGTAGCGACAGCATATTCTTCAGCTCAAAGAAAAAGTTTTTATCCCTTTGGAGTCAAAACAGCCAAAGTCTTAGTGAATTTCAGATGTCTTAAAAAATTTTTTTATGATTTATTCTATCATACTGTTTTCATATTTGTTATCAGCAAATATTTGCTACTGCCTACTGATTGAATAATTTTAGTTTTGGTATTCTATATTTTGGTAGTTCTATATTATATTCAAAGGTGGGCAAGTTAATAAAATAATTAACAGTGACAAGTAAAGCTAATTCAATAAAATTTCCTTATATTACAGTTTAAGTTACCAAAAATTAGAATAGAAAATAAAAAAAGCTTAACCCAGTTAAAAAAAATAATTTTCTTTTCAAGTCATAATACCTAGTCATAAGCCGTAGAATTTTGAATGGAACAAAGATTTAACAAGATGCTTAGCACTATGCAAATATTAAACTTAAAATTATTATTATAGTGCATTGTTATCAAAAACTTATATGTTAACTTAAAAACTTTATATTATACTAAAGTTGTTAGAGTCTAGAAAAGATATTAGTAATAGTATACATTTTGCTGTAAGTTTAGTATCTTAGTTTAGATCTATTATATTTTATAATATTATTAGAAAAATAAATTACCAAAATTAACAATATACATTTAGACACTGTTAGTTAGAACTATTGTTTATTAAATTTGAGTGCATTACGTATATCGACAATGTAATTTACTTATCAGCTTTCATCTAAATCGTAAATTGGTCAATGAAGAAATTTCAATATCTCAAATATGTTTTTATGTGTTAAAGAGAAGGAAATATTCTTTCGAAAGAACATTTAATCATTGGTAAAACATAACTTTTTGATTGAATTAAAATGGATTGGCACTCTTTAAAAAAGTTTTAGTTTTTCTCGATAAAAATTTCTAAAATTAATTTATATTAATTAACATCACAATAACAATAAGATCATCAATTAGGCCATTCAACTATTTTTTTTAATTTATAATGTTTCATTGTGTATAAATACAAATAATTTGACTACTACATAAGTATTTTAATAATTAAATAAATTTATCAGGAACATAGATCAGTCTGCTAGAGCCCCAAACCTCTCCTTGAATCTATGACTAAATATTAGAACTATTTAAGAAAAAAAAAGGTCTACTATTAAGGAGACAAAATAATATTGTTTAAATCCATAACATTTCTTTTGTTTTCTACAAACATGAACTGAAATTATGTTTTTAAATTAGGAAAAACAAATCTCTTAATGTTAAAGTAGAGTTGTAGCTACTAAATACTAATTTTTAGTAGCTAGTTTTAACTTTAGGTTTAATACGCTAGTAATATGTTACTTTGTACTCATAGTATTATTATTGATTCAATAATACTAAATTATTTAATCAATGGTATTAAGCTTTAAATAATAAATAATAATATATATTATTCACTCAAAATTTAAATAAATATATTTATTATGCATTCATTCATATAACTACCTCTCCTTCACACTTTGAAATTTTATACCAAAAAAAATATTATTGAACATACACAAGACTGCAAGTTTAAGTTATTTATATTTATATAAGTGTTTTTATGTAAATATCGAGGATTATTGACAAATAAGTTAAAAATAATAATATATAAATTTATATTCATAAGGTTTATAATATTATGAAAACATCTCTAAGTAGCTGTATAAACCATTTATGTTAATATAAGTAAGAAAAAAAATTTATTAAAATTGCGTAATATAGTAATCTAAAATCAATAACAAAGAAATGCCCAATAAATAACACAATTACATACTCTATGAACATTTATTTAATCGTATCAAAATATGATACACATTACACAGTTAAATTAAAACTTTAGGAAAAGCAGGTAAATTAGTTAAATATCATATAAAAACAGTCAGTTTAACTTTTTTCTTTTTTAAAATACAAATTAACAGAAAAAAAAATTTTGTTTTGAATAATAATAATATTTTTTCACGAATTTATTATGTATATGTGAATAAAAAACCCCTATTGGTCAAACAAAACTTAAATATTACTTTCCTCATACATAATTACCCTAATAAATATTCAATCTTTAAGCATTTTTTTTAGATTTTTTTAGTTTTTTCTTTTTTTTTTATCAATTTCTCATTAACCGTACGAATACTAATAACCAGACACGCGTGATTTATAATAATATGTACACATTTAAAATATGTCATTAAAACTTGATGAGACAAAATTTAGTACCTATTTTAAATTCTAAAAACATCTACAAATTTTTATATTCACGAAAGTTGAGGTAATAAATCGCAATAATTTTTTTCTTATAATTTGATATTTAAACTTCCTAGAACAAAAAATCACTTAAAACAAATTAGGTATTTATAAATATAAACATTAGACTATACAGTTTCTTTACAAATAAAGTTATGGACGATTGGTTTTGTATTTGTCTATTAACTGTTCATAGTTTTTTTTTAAATTTTGTATAAGTTAAAAAAAAATTGTCTGATACAGATTAAGTGACGATTCTATTATATTTTAAGAAGGTTCTATCTGTATAATTAAACAATATTAATATTGCACCCTAAAATATAACTGACCATATTTGTTGATAAATCTATTTTCATAATGTATATGTATTAATATATATAAATATATATTATATGTTATTATATATAAATATATAACATACATATTTAAAAAAAATTAAAACAGTGGTGGGGATAATTATTATATCACATTTTATTCATGTCCTCGAGAGTTGTTTTTCAAACAACAACTTGTTCAGGAGGTAATGTTGGGTCTGCTGGAGGATCTGATGGAGCAACATTCTGTGTTTCTGACTTTGCAGACCACTGTGTTCCTGCTTTAGTTTTATCATAAGGCACGTTGCGTCCAGCCCTACGTCTTTCACGTTTCTCTTCCATAATCAAACGTAGGCGTTCCATTTTTCCACGAGTAGCTGCATTTTCTTTGGTCTCGCTCTCTACAGAACAAATTTGATTAAATGTTTAATTTATATTCTTTTTAATGTTTATAGGACATCTTATCGAAGATTTCTCACCGGTATTATCAGAATTTGCAGACGTTTGAGCAGACATACTATTTGTGGGAGAAAATGGTGTAGCAGCTTGAGCAGCTGCAGCAGTAGGAGAAAGTGTAGTGGCTGTGCAGACAGCTGGTGTGCCTGATCTAGCAGCGGCTCTGTACTGTGGTGTAGCGCATAGTAAATCATTAAGTATATGAATAATTGTACTTATGTCACGTTTTGGACGACCGAAACGATCTTGCAAGGCTGGATTTAAGGTTCCTATAACAAGGAACAAACAGTTAGTAAAAGTTAAGTTTTATTGTACAAAAAAAAAAAAATAAAACAATTTAAAAAAATAAAATATATTTATATATATATTGTAGGTAGTTCAAAAATTGTTGGTGCAACCCATGAAGTTAATGACAGACAAATATGTAGTTTTATGTTTTCAGCCAAGAAGCCTTAGACCAACTTAACTGCAGGAAACCATGGAAGATATATATAAAGCCTTAGTAAGTATTTGAAAATGAACATAAAATTTACCAGAAAATGTTCSAGAATAAACTCCTTTGCCGTGATGTTGCATACTCTCGATTATAGCACCTGGTCTTCGTTTGAACCCAATGTGCATCTGAAAAATAACAAAAAAATAGCATTGAACAAACAATAAACTTTTTCAAAACAATTTAAGAAAAATCTTTTCACAAAACGTTTTTTAAAATAATTAAGAATAAATCGAACAGAATTTTAATACTTAGAATCGGCAACTTTGAAATGATGGTAAATATAATACCTTTACATTTCACATCATGAATTATGAGTATTTATATACCCAATCATACAAAAACTAAATGTTAATTATAATACGATCAAAAATAATTATTGATGCCTATACTCATTGCCTAAGTATACCCTACAGTTTATATTATGATTTAGAATGAGTAAACACAAAGGAATGAACTGTAATTTTATGTCTTTATAGTATAAGTTTCATTTAATCTATTTTTTAGCTTTTTAGTATAAATACTGGTTTCAATGTAGACGAATATTAAAGTCCAAACAAAGAAACAAATGAAGAGTCAATTAAATCACAAAACGAATATGAAATTCCGGACAAACTATGTATACATAATACACACTACATATAGATGGTTATCGATGTACTATAGTATGGTCAAAGGGGCCATAATATCGTACATAATAATATAAATATAAGACAGCTGCAAAACGCCGGTTTCCATGAAACCACATTTCGGGAGGAGTAACCATCCAAAAGACACCGTCGAATCGACCAACGAAGCGTGTAAGAATTATTAAAGGAAATGGCAACAGCGGTTAGTTGCTTTGTATTTGAGATATTGAGATGACGAGAAAACACGCACAAATCGAAGAAAATATTAAGTTTAACACAAAACATGTAATATTAGTTATTACGATCAGACGTCAGTGACGTGGCGAACTTGAAATTTTTCAGAGGCTAGCAAAATATTCCACCAGTCCACTCACAAAACACGATAATGGCATTTACTGTCATGTTTACTAACACCCATCGAAGTAAACATTAAAATACAGGGGAAAATACTAAATTTGTCACTACCTACTGCCCATCCGCCTAGAGCCTACCATTGAAAAACTCGGAGGCGGCCGTAACCTCTTTGCCCATTGTTATAAGTTACAATAATAATATTATTATAGGTATATAATATATATACGCACACCACGCAATACCGGTTAAGATGCTATGCTAAAATTTTATTTTCTAATAGGCGACATGATGGTTGGACGGTGGTGCGGGTAAAGGTAAAAAGCAACGACCTGCCTCAAAATTGGYAGCCACCCAACATCGTGCGGCGGCTACGTCCGTTCGATGCACAACGCGCGGGGTGGCGGCGGCGCCTAGGGGACATCGTCGTCGTCGGCTGCTGCGGCGGCGTCCGGGCCCCACAGTAACCGACCACGGAGGGAGCTTGTAGCTCGCGCTCGGCTAGGAGACAGGAAAACAATCATAGAGGAGTAAGAGAGCAGCGTGATCAATATACGGTTGAGGGGGCGCTGTGTCGACGACGGCTGTGAGCTCCGCCGGGCAGGACGACCGAATCGATTGGTGCGGCGGCAACGACGCCCGGCGCTCGACGGAAAAAAAAGAGTAACCTCTCCTCCGTCGGTTACCACACGGCACGCAACCCGACCACCCCTGGCAACGAGTTTCTCGTCTCCGGGTAAACAACAACGCACCGCGTCCGACCGCGATAATGCACGAGGGCGACGGAATGCATATTAATATTATTAGTTATTACACACAGATGTGTGTGCCTGCGACGATTAATGCGTCGTGGACGTGGGTGTCGACCAACAGCGGGCGTCCGTCGCGAGCTCCCACATTTCGTGTGTGTGACGAGTTTTATACTTCGAGGGACGGGTGGAAATACATTATTACAACGATGATAATCATAATAATAATGTGAGCGAGTGCATGTAGGTAGGTAGGTAGGTAGAGAAGAGCAGCGGTCGAGAACAGTTTGTACCTATTCGTTGTCGGGCGTATGCGTATAATATATAATAATAATAATAATTCATAATATTCAAATGTAACGCGGAGACTCAATACCAACGCGATACAGGGGCGGTGGAGAAGTTTGAAAAATAATAATCATAAATCGTATTTATAATTTTTATCGTGCTACCGCTAACGGGACACAGACGAATATAAACCAACGCTGCCTTGAGAAGGGGACTCCCTAACACACACTCGAGTGCACTACATCGAAATACACGATATTAAAATATCACCGTATCAGCAGTGACAACAAAATAAAAAACGATAACCTAACCTAACCTAACCATTGGTCTGGGGATGAATTCATAAATCTAAAAAATGTATGCACGTAACAAGTTACATTATAAAATATTCTTATAAATAGGTTTCAGTAAAAGTAAATAGCTATTATATTAATGATCTATAGAGAAGAAGTAAAAATTAGTAAGTTATGTTCTAAAAAATACACTCGAGATGTGACGGACTGTTATAAAAATATTATTTTTCTCATCACACATAAAATAGAAATAAATAGAATACGGATTCAGATATCTAGTGTACCTACTGAAAGATGTTCAACGAGTTTGTCAGTTACATTCTAGGACCAGATGGTATCCCGAAGAGGTTAACCTTAGTTTTATGTTTATTTTCAAAACTCGTTTTAGCCGTATAATTCAGCAGTATGGGTGTTTTAAAAATACATTTTTGCAAATACGGCAGTAACCTTAGGTTGTAGAAAAAAAACATGGAACTATAAGCTGATTACGAGACGTATAATAATTGTCAAAGTGAAAGTGAYACCAAACTGACTACAATGCGTATATTGTACTGCCAATTTTATTACAAAATACATCATTTAATTTGTTTTATTATTTATTGTTCAACACTGAAAAAACTGAAAATTGTGTTAGTTATTATATAAAATTCAATAATCCATTTGTTAAATTTATAATTTACAAATACCAGCAAGACCCATTAGAAATATTATAGCATGCCGAATTCATATTTTTATTATGACTACAGGAAAAAATGTACAATGATCATTAATATACATAAAAATATTTATAGCAAATTAGACGAAATAAATCGAATAGAAAAAAAATCGACTGTTAATTTTAGATGAATCTTTTTCTGCAGCATTCCATATTTTTAACCTATGCGTAATTTTTCACTTATCATGCAATCATAGATAATTACCAGGTTAATATTATCATTCAATTTATTTGAATGATACGACAAACAAAAATGTAATCAAATTCATTGGTATATTCGTTTATATATACGAAATCTTCTGATTACATTGACTGAATAGTATTTGTAATGAATGTCRACACATGTAAAATAGATATTATATGATTTTAATTTCTTAATAAAGAAAATATTTAAAGAAAATCGATACTAATATTTAATAGTTATTTAATTCAAAATAATACTTCAGAATCAATAAACTAAATGTATTGCTTGCATACAGAATTTAAGAGATACACGTTTGAAAGATCTGAAACACAGTTTTAGGTAAAATATGTTGGAAATYAATGGCAATGTGTATATTGGTTTCAACACAAACGTCGAAACGTCAAATGTTATTACTATGAAAGAAAATAAACATCTGTAAATTAATTAYACATTTATAGATATTCATGCGAAAGGGTGCAGTTTTTGAGAAGGAACTGTAATAACATTAATTAAAATTGATTAATGAGATAAGCGTAGTATAAGTTTGGAATATTTGCAGGGATAAGATTAGATAGAATTTATTGTTAAAAACCTTTGAAACTTTTATCATGCATTATGGTAACTTATTATTAACTTAAATTAGTAACGGTAAGATAAGATCATTACAATATTGTGCTACATAAATGTATTACAAAAAACAGCTGTAATGATAGTAATATATTGTCTTGTAATATTATTTATGTTTATAAAAGCAATAGTTAATATTTGTTATTCAAAAAATAATAGAACAAAATCAATAACATCGTTAACTTATAAATAATTATAGTATCTTCAATTTAATAATAATAATTTATATCTAACCTATAGAATATATATTATATACTATGGATATTATTATTTAGGCATTAGAAAAATAGAATAATAATAATAAGACAACACTGAACGATCATTATTATGATATATTTATATTTAATTACGTATTACGTATTATATATTGATATTGTTTATAGTTTAAATAAAATATTAGGTGCTTGTTGTTTATTCATGCTTGGTTGTATTGGTAAGGTGGGTTCACTCACAAATGTATTAATTTGTATGATATAAAAAAAATTACATTAACGACGTAGTAATATAGTTTTTGTTTTTAATGACCAATAATCCAAATTTAATACATTTTATTATGTTGAAATTTAATATCAGGTGCATGTGCATAATTAATTTCAAGAGACAAAGAACACATATTGCGTTTTTTTTTAATCATACTTAATGAATTACCTACATAAAAACAAATATTTGCATTAATGCATTAGAAATACACATACAAAAACACAAATGTATGCACATAACACACACACACACAATATAATAGTTGATTTAATTTTAGTATTTTTAAAAGAAAAATTAATTCTAGTTTAGATTTTGTTCTAAAATCATTTAAATTTGAATTATGGTAAAAGAAACATACATTATAGAGAAATAATAATTATGAGTAGGTAATACTCATGTAGTGCATTATACTTTAATTAAAAATGTAAGCAAGTTTTTTTCTTAATACAAACTGTATTATATTTGAATTTTGAACCTTCATAATAATTATTAATAAAATAATAAAGTAACATAGGTATATATTATAATATACTTTCAGGAAAATATAGATCTGAATTATTTTTATTCTGTTAATGTTTATAAACTGTATAATGACGAGTGATGGCTACTATAAACTGGCAACATGGTTTATAATAATTTAAATAATAGTATTCTATAACTTATTATTTATAATTATAAGATAATGTATACGTCGAATTAAACAAAATAATATGTTTTCTATGCTACATCAAAATAMAATTAAAGAGATTCAACTATATTTAACGTAAAAAAATATATTATTATTTGTATATATTATAGAATTAAATAAAAACAACCATTCATGACATTATGAATATACGATTCACATCATAGAGCAACGAACACTTTAATAGTTAGATGTGGCGTATGCGTAGGAGTTGGTCACACGCGGGGGATGACAAGAAGAAACATCGGGTGGGCGACGCCCACTGGACCATTGTCAGATTGTCCATTTACAACCCCTTCACATTACGTACCCACGATGAATAAAATATTTAGTGCTTAGATCTATTTTATGCTTATTTTAAATTCAGTGCTACAACAATGAATACTTAAATATACTATGAAGTTTTATTTTTTATAGAAGTAGATTACGAATRACTAAAATTTAAAAAAACACTTGACTAAAGAAGAATAAAATCAGCAGTTCATGTTCACAATACCTACATTTTGTGCATATAAAATAGTTTACAGTAACCCAAAAATTATTATTATTACTATTTATTAACACGTAAAAAAGTCGTATCGATATTCCTTGTCCCAGCATTAAAATAGTGAAATGTTTGATAAATGTTTTCCTAAGTAGTATAGGCACGAAATTGTTATATACAATAATGAATAGAAAATACAGTATGTCGGTGTTTTCGCCATGTGTATAAATAGGATATTCAGTAAATAGTAGAGGGAGTAAGGGGAAAGTAGTACTCGGCTCAGTATATTATCTATTGATTGCCACCGGCGGTTCGGTCCGCTCTATTTGCCGTGGAGTTTATTTTTTTCGCGTCTCCGAAGYAGCCAAGGCGGAATCGACACAGTTACCAGACACCGTTGTCCGGCGAACTGGAACACCGAGTACCGTAAAACACGGATCTCGTTTACGGTTACGTTTTACGAATCGTCCRCTGGGGACACACGGGTTTAACCGTTGTAACGTGAAAAACAGATTTTGAGCAGAAAAAATATATTCCATATTTCTAAATTGTTAAACATATTATGTTTAACACGGACCTAACGCCCAAAAAACAACAATATAACACACTAACTATAAATATAAAAATGAAGAACAGTATGATCTATTTAATGCGGGATGGAAGACAACAAAAAATACACGAATTTCCGTTTTATTCAACGACCAATAGAAATTCTTGTCGCCTGTCGGGAATTTAAAATGAAAATAAAATAAAATTCTACAGTACTCGATTTCTGCAGTTTTATTTCAGTTTTCGACAGATTCCGTTGTATAAACAATTTAAATAAGGTCAAACTGATAGGAGAAAATTTGATGAATACATAAGACACATGAAACATTTTAGACTGCATGTCTGTATAGAGTTGAAATTTTTTAGAAACTACAWWCAAATCAAGACAACTATTTAAATTATAAATAAAGGATAAGTTAAGTTATCCTAGAGTATATTATATATATTAAATAAATAATACATATACAGTATACACACCCACCAACGCTTCTCATTGTTTTCGGCATTTCTAGGGGGCTTGCACATTTGGAAACTGAAGTAGTGCAAGAGAGAGAGAGAGAGAGAGAGAGAGTCGATCAATGAAAAACAAGGTACGTGTGTGTGTATAGCAACGCCTATAGTACACAACACAAAAGGTCGCACCGACCCGGGGCCTTTGTGATAAGCGACCTCCCGCGTGATCAATATGACGTCGATTTCACTGTGGTGGCCTAACCACGCCCCACAGGGATACCCGGATTCTGCTGGGCTGCCGCCGCGGCATTTTTGTACACACATCGATGTACAGTATACGTACACAATACAAAATAAATGAATAAATGCAGACAAATAAATACAGTGACCAAAAAAACAGTACGTGTGAATAAAAAAATTTCAGGCACACAAAAACGGCTGCAGCAGCACGCATGTATAAAATTCCATTTCATTTTAATTCTTTCTCTCGCCCCTCTCACTGTCTGTCTCTCTATCTATCTTTTCGTGTCTAATGTTTATTAATTCGGTCGTGCAAAGAAACTCGGCCGTATTTCACCTGAAATTGAGGTCAACGGATGTGTACATTATAATGGTAAACGCCGTGTACGCACAAGCAACGCCACTCACAAAGACCACGACTATGACTGTGGAACAGCAGCGACGGCAGTGGTGTGGGTTAGTGTGTGAACGAGTGACAGCGCGTGTAAATAAACGGCAACGTCGACAACACTCGGCGACACGACTCACCTCTTCTACCCGGCTCGTACAGCGTGTGCGGATGCTGCGGGCCCACGACCACACATTGATCATAATAACCCTCGGGACGCCAGAGACGAAATTAGTATACCCCCGGGCTCCGCGCGTTGCCAGATTGCGACGTTGCCGCCCACGCAACAATCGATACTACGCTAGTACGATACGAGACACACGTCCGGGCACAACAAATTTAAATCAATCACCCAGAAAATATCGGCTGTTTGGCATAACACTAATACTCGGCGCTAATTTTAGACRCGACAAACGACGTGTTGTAGACAATTTTTCTACCGCGACGAAAAAAATCCCATTCTAATACCGTTTGGATATTTTAGTTTTTTCGTGATGCCGTTTTGCGAAAAATATAAGTTAAAAATAATTTGCCACTCACCTCTTTGGAACCGCTTTTCGTGGTGAGGACTTCCGAAGACAATTGTTTTAAGGTCTGGGTGAGGTTCCTCGAAGCCTCGGCGAGCGCTCGGGTGTCCAGTTGCGGTTTGTCTCCCGTAGTCGTGGTCGTAGTCGTGGCTGTATTGGGGGTTGCGGTCGACGTGCTCGCGTCGCACGAACAAGGCGTCGACGCTGGTGCGGGAGTGGGTACTGCGGCTGCGGCTGCTGCTGCTGCTGCGGCTGCGGCTGCGGCGGCTGCAGCGGCGGCGGCGGCTGCTGCTGCTGCTGCTGCAGCCGCGGCGACTATCGGTGACGGGGCAGGAGGTGACACGTCTTCGGTCGTGTCCATCGAGTTTTCATCGCTGTCGTCGGATACGTTACGGACGCGAGTGATTGGATAAGCGTCCACACCGGGAATCAGTCTAGGGGTGCCGATGATGTTGCCGGCAGAACACGCGGTGGCCGCCGTCGCGGTGGCCTGGGGTGGTTCGGGTGCCACAGACGATGTGTTCAGCGTGGACGCTGTTGCACCGGTACTAGCCACAGTCGAGGCGGCGGTCTGGAGTCGTTTCGACGAACCTGACGACGATACAGTAGATAGTTGTAGCTGGATGAGCATCATGTGATCGCCAAGTCTCATCGTGAGATTTAATGGTGCTTTTCCCGATAGGAAATCGTTGACCTAATAACAATAAATGCAGACATTTAATATAGGCAATATATTGGGTATAGTGATGTAAATTAATTTTAATTTAAACGCATAACCAAACAGTATAGTGTTTTGCGATATTATGAAATTATTCGTACCGATTAAAGATGGCAATCAAACAGTGGCATATATATGGAGGATACCTATGTGTTTAAATTATATGTAGTTATAATAAATACTAACTAGATAATATTATATACACGAGTATTATAATTTACATATCGTTATAACAAATAAAATATAATGTAAAAGATTATTAAATTATGACTAAACTGTCGAACGTATTGAAACCGAACATCCCCAATGAAAACATTGTCATAAGCAGAACTTCTCGATCACGAAATAAGGAATCGGTGCGTACCTACTTGCGACGGTAATGTGTAGTGAGTGCGACTTTCTTATATGCCACCAGAGAAAAGGTATTGTCGAAAAAGGTATTGGCCGCCGAGGAGTAATTTACTTCCAGGATGCACAAAAAAAAACCTTTTGACACCTACCTCACTCTAGTCAGCACATCCAAATCGTCCCTTTTAACCATTGCATGAGCACCAGCCATCTCAGTAATCAGTGTCTTTAAATATTTCAAGTATTTTAAGTCATAATTACTTAGTCTCACATAATACTGTTACAACATAGACTATAGCTAACTGCTAGTTAGGTAAGGCATTTAGCTTTAATATAATATTTTATATTGATCGCGATTATTTTATTATATGCATATTATACATGTAATAATTGTATTAATTGGATAACACAATCTTGAGAGCTCTCCGAACACCATGAGGAAGGTAATAGCGTAATTTTAATATTTGCTTCTTATATCATTTACCAGCACTTATAAGTGTCGGCCGTAGGGGAGATAATACAGATTTTTGACTTTAACATCCAATTTTAATATAACTATTTATAGGAGTCATTTTTATATTTATCAACTATTTTTGGGTTATTAAAATAGTGACATATATTGAWAAGTTAGGTAATAACTAATAATATAATTTATTATACTATTTAATGTATATTGTACCTATTTTTAAAATACCTCAAGRTATTACATATTTTTAAATTCTAATTATTTTTTTTTATTTTTACGTATATTTATTGTTTACAGATTTAGTGTACTTTTGTGTCTCCCCCATTATTTTTCCTAAATACGTCCCTATAGTACTAAATATAAATGTATAAAAATATACGACTAMAAMATTGTTTATAAAACAATATTTAACAATGCCTAACTTGAGTATTTGAAAAAAAAAATTGACACACTTTTGCGTATCATTATTTGCCTGTAAACTTTCAACGACAAATTAAAAACAAATTAGAAAACATAGTGAATTGCAAATACATACATGATACATTTTATCATAGTTGTATATCAAATTTATTTACTTTGTTATACAATAAACAACCCGCACAGGTGTAACGAGTAACATCATATTTTAATAAAATATGTGAAGTTTGACATTAATTTCCTGATATACCTTTAGTAAATACATAGTGCAATAATATGTTGTAAGACCAGTGTTTGTATTTTAACCACTAGATGTCGTCTTAAATTTGAAATTAGATATTATTTATAGTTTAATGAATCTTATTATATAAATTTAAAAGTGGCATTTCCTGCATAAAATTAATCTTCCTCAAGCTCCAAAACATTAATCTAAGATGTCAGTTTTTCGTTGATCAAGTTAGAAATTACGACAAAAAATTTGAAATGTACAAATAAAAATTAACTACGAATGAAACAATTTTTAAATTTTTTTTAATAAACATATTATTATCATTGCATCGACAATAAATGAATTTCAGAACCTTAAATATGATTTATTCAGTATTTGTAATACCTACTTGTTTGTTAAAACTTAAAATACATACGTCATCCATAGGCATAAAACAGTATGTAAGATAGCTGGAAAATAACTTATCATTTATCAGTTAATTTTCAACATACCTCAATTAATATTGTACTACATTAAATATATTTTTTACTATGTTTAAACGGCATTTAAATTATCACTTATAAAAAATATACGATTTAACAGTCAGTCTCTTTTAAAATATTTTTACACATTTTAAAAGTAATGGTGTATAAAACCATTGTTATATACAGTCAACAATAAAATACCATGAATCTTTAATCATCTTTAGTTAAAAGATATGTATTAAATGGTGAAATTACCTGAGAGTCGTTCAAACTTTCCAATGCCTGCATCACACTTTGTTCTGGTCTCTGAACCTAAAAATAAAAATTAGACTATAATAAACATAATACAGTATAATACACTATAAATATGGAGACATTTTTCAATACTCAATAAGAATGTATGACTTGTTTACAAAGAAATTGTATGCATAGATACTATTACACGATAAATATTAATAAAATGTTATCGGCAGGGTGTGGTCCTGGATTCACAAGGTCCCTCTGATAAGGTCAACGCCCGGTTTGGAAGACGGCCCGCCCAATTTTGTAAATATACCGTTTATATTTATCTTATATAGGATTCCGTGTTCAAGTATAAATAAAATTTATGATTTAATTTGGGCCGAAAAAAGTATCCATGTAACAAACCCGATAGCACTCATTTGGAACACACTGTGTTAACATGGTACAAATATTATATCAGTAGTTTTTTTCCCATACTCGTAAAGTCGTAAACCACGCGATTCGCTTTGCCGACTATATATCTAGAACGGAATAATGCAACAACGCTGATCCACTTTTACACAAAACATTAACAACAAGTTTTTAGCACAGAATTATTTTTTAAAATAATATTGTAACTGTAAAAACACATTTATTTTGTTGTAGGTATACTGTATACATAATATATATGAAACAATATAACAGCAGTTTTAAATAAATAGTATTTTAAGTTATTTTAATTCAGAAATTGATATTGATAATATTACAATTACAACATATTATATTGTATTTATATCTATATATAATTATAATATTTAATTGTTGTAAACGTATTTTTTTACTAATAAAAAGTAATAACTTATATATTTACGGTTCGCAAAACTGAGAACAAAATACAAATATTATGAATATTACGATTAACTATGTATAAATATGTTAAATACAATCTTGTAAATTTTAAAACTTTATTTATTTTCATTAATTTAAAACATCTGGAAAAAAATTGATAACGTCGATAAAATTAATGTTAAATGGTTAGTGAGAAATTTTTTTATCATTCACTTAAGAATTACAAAGGCCAAATAAAAAACTAATGACATATTGTATAAATTAACCCAAAAATAAATCGTTGTCTAATAACCATAGCAGTTGAAGCCTGTAAACCTTTAAATAAAAAATAAAAAATCATTGTGTAATAAACACACTTAAGAACAAAATTAATGTTTTTAACTATCAACTTTCAAAACCATAAAAAAATACCTTATAAATAAATTAACAGATCTTATTCATGACAGGCATACAGCATTTTAAATTTTTATATTACCTACCAGATTTGACTAGGAATTTACTTTAAGAAATACAGCGTGAATCACAAAGTTTAAATGTCATCAATTAAGTTAAAACATGAAAATACAATGACTTGTCCTAAATGTGTTTAGACATTTTACACAAAATAACCTACTATAATATTTATATTAAAAAAGTGTTAATTAAAGTCATTAACTTTAAATCCTATCTATAATAATTGTAACTTGTAACTATTATATTATATCTGTACTTTTGCTCTTGTAGGAACTACCAAAAAATATAAATCTACTAAATTAAAAAAGTATTTTTACTATTCATATYTATTATTTAAACATAATATACATTATTTTAAAATAAAAATAATACTATATGCGATGCATGGCATAATGTTGAATTGCTTACATTAAGTAAGTACATAATAAACAGTAGGTACTGTGAAATAAAAATGTTTACACTTACATATTTTGGTAGTAGTTAGACCCGTACGTYATACCCGCATAATGTATAGTGACCATTTTAGTACATTGCGAATTTGTGTTCAATAAAACTAATTATTAACTTTAATATTAGAGTGAATAAATTAATCTATAATCAAACTTTTAAGAATAATAATTCGTGTTTGTACTTCTGTCGTTTACGATATTTTACAAACTCAAACCTGGTACAGTTATATAAAATATTCAAATATCGTTAAATATAAACACAAACTAAGTTCTTATACCTATTACCCGCGTGAGACACGTGATTTTTTGTAACGTCAGTTATCGTGCAGGGTACAATATTGTAATCTATTTATTGTTCTACCATCATTATTCAGATTAATACATATTATGTACCTCCAGTGGAGTAGTCAAAGTGGATAAGGTGTTTAGCCCTTCCCCCATTTCATAATCCTGGCTGTCACTGAATACGGTATACTCTGTAACGCGAATAAATAAAGGGTTAAGTTTGATAATATATTAATTCACTATTAAATCGACCAACGAAAATTTTCAATATGATGTAAATTTGTGAGACGTAGACAACACAAGCGAGTGACACAGACATTATCTTAACATTAAATGCATTTTTTATAGTAATAAGTATTTAAATTTTAACACATTTATTTAATGTTCACTTATAACCAAAATATTTAGGTGATTCCTATGTAAAGTAATATTAAAATCACATAGAATGTAACAACAAATATCACGAGTGCTCAAGTCTATAACGTATCAGTATATTTGTAGCTCTAGTGTTTATTTTAATAACGTAGCTTGTTGTGTACTTGTGAAGATAAAAATTCTAAGGTGGAACCTTGAGGTTTAGAATAAATTCTAACATAATAAGTCAGATTCAGATATAATAAATTTAAGGTAAACATATTATGTAAAATTAAACCAGCAGTGGATAAAATAATATATTTTCAAATATTACAACGAGTGCCCAAGTACATAATCATATAATATATGTATACCTACATTTGCACCAAATGTAAATTCTATTCAAAATTTTACTTTTTTCAACATTTGAACATAAATATGATTGATGAATGCCGAATAAGTGTTATGTTTAATGATATAATTAATAAACAAATAGAAATCAAGTTGTGTATTTGTATTCTTAAAAATTTATTACAAAGTATCAATATATAATAATTCAATTTTGTTTTTATTAAAAAAGATAATATTCACAATCTGTATACGTGCAGTGAATACAATATGTAATAAGTATAAAAAAAGATCTATGGACTAATAGGCTTGATCAAATGAGTTTTGGACTCTACTAGAAATGTTATTTATTTTTTAAATCTACCTATACGACTTGCACGCCATCACGTCATATTATTTAATCATTCCTTTTTAACGATTCGAGCAGTAGATATGTATACTAGAAACATGTTAAAGTGGTAGTTAATTCGAAAATACGTTTTGAATTTGGGCAGACAACAGGAATTCAATAAATGTTTTAAAAGAACGGAATTAAACTATGGTGAACCCACCTCTGGTCCCGATGACGATCGGGTCATAACGGGTGTTGACCGTTGGCGTTCGGTGGCGTTTTGGTCCGCGCGAGGAGAGAGAAATAGAGAATATTATTATTCGAATCACTACGGTCTACGATGACGATGAACCGCCGACATGATGTGTATACCGTTGCCCGGATCCCGTTACCCGGACAACGGGACAGCCAGCAATATGTAGTCATAACGGGACCGGGGCACAGTCACAGACCCGTTACAGGGTACCCCGAAAAAATCTGTTATTTTACAAAATAATAATAATAWTGATAACTTAACGGTCCTCGGTTTTGGCATTCAAAGCGCCCCCTGCTATATAAAATTGTGCTAGACGAACATTCGCCATTATACGTTGAAWGTTTCAGAAACTTTTGTTCGATTCTTTCGAAGAAACGTGGAAGAATAATACCGTCAACGCAGTACAGAACTAAATAAAATATAAAATAATATAAATCATAATATTAAGACCTATTAACATAAAAACCACAAAGCATTGTCGTTACATAGATTTTTCGTGTAAACCTAAACGCAAAATAGTGTTAAAACGRTTGTTTTCAGTTAGTAATTTAATATTTATCGAGGCGATTATATTTGATGACAAATTCGCAAGGGAATAGTATACTATAGTTGTTTYATATAATTCAATTAAAATAACTTGGAAAAAATGAAAAACTCCATAATGAAATCATGAAATTAACAACATTACTTTTAAAACAAAATAAATTAAGGTAACATTATAGCGTAATAGTACCTATTCTATTAGAGTCGAGTAAACAATTTTTAAATAACACGAATACTATGAATATAGTATTCAGTTATTTGTAAATAAAGTATTGACAGTGAAAAACATACAAACACTACAAATATATTGCATACATTATACAATAGTCAATACCTATGCCCATTAATGGTTATCGATTTAAAATTATTATTCTTGAACCCATATGATTAATAATATTTAGATAGTAGAGCGAGCTAAGTGTGTAGGTACTTAATATTATTATTTTTTACTTGTGACTAATGAATTGAATTCAATCACAGTAATATTCAGTTACTTATATATCATGCAAATTAAAAAAATAAATAGGTAGTTAAGTATGCGGGAATCATGTTAATCAAAAAAGGATTATTTTATAGTTACCATATTAATATTTAACATGATAATATTTATATTTTAGTTTTATTATTATGATAATGGTTATTATTATATTACAATTTACATTATATGCATGTCGTTTGTGGTTAGAACAAGACACACTAAAGAAACATTCACCAGCACAAGAATTGCGTATACACTGTGCAACATTAAACTAAAAATTACAAAGAACACAATTTAGATTGTCTCTAAAATATTACTATCTTGTACAGTTAGCTTAAATTAGTGCGATAAAGGTTTCTATGAATTAAGATTCACTTTATGAATTTGCTCCAATTCAGATTTGTACTATTCAATTGTATGAAATATATTGTTATAGATTTTAAAAAACATCTTAAACCTGAATAAATAATAACACCTAGTTCCAAAAATTAATACAGTTCATAAATGTTTTAAATATTATGTGCATTAACAGGTAATGTAAAATGTATAGTAAAAAACAATACATGAAAGAAGTTAGGTACATCCGAATTAAATTTACAGACCCGACATCATGAATCACAATATTATTGTGACATAGATGGGTACATAATGTAAATTAATTGACTAAAAAAATACAATTATAGAATTATGTAACGTAATATTGTGTCAATTATATAACATTTAATATGACTTTTGAGTATTTACTATTTAGTATTTTAAAGTAAACTGCAGTCTATTACACATGAATATAAATTTTAAATGTAAAATAACAATAATACCGTGGCGACCGTAGTGTATATTATACAAACGTATCATKGTGCCCATAACAACGAAATAAGTCACAACTTAAATAATACAATCACAACGTTATTTTATGAATGTTCGACGTGAAACTTTTTTCCTKAACTATAAATAAGTTGATTATAAATAATCCAATTGTGATTTAAGAAATAATTAAAATTAACATTTCATTTTACGAGATGATCAGTCTTTTACTATATTGATTGACCATCTATTTTATTGCACTATTTGTAGGCTCAGGTCTWACATGTAGTGCGTCGGGCTTATAGAAATTTAGGGAAACTAAAATGTGGAAGGAGAAATGGAGAACAAGGACTACTTTATTTCCCTCTCCTTCGACATTCTAAAATCTCAAGCTGCGATGAGAATAATATGTCCTTGCGCGTGCACATTGGCTGTTCGGTGTGTATAATGCATATAATAGTAGTAGTATAATATAACATACAATAATATGTAATATATCGTGATTATCAAGATGTGTGGCAATAAGGACACACAATATACGGGTATTACTTTATGTTTTAAACTGGTTTATCGTTGAGGGGTAAAGGGTGGGAGGCGCAGGATAAAAAAAAGACGAAAACGAAGATTTACTCACCAGAAGACCGGTTTCCACGCTGGGCAAAAGGGTGAGGCGGCTTCCTTGCATCAACTGGTTGTCGTCCAACGAGCCATCTCTTAGTTGCCTACAAAACAAAAAAAATAACAAAGACCATAAATCAATAAACGTCTGCTCCGTAACTGTATGATACCAATTGAAATATCTTGGTTTACGTGTGTTAAATATTTACCAAGTCAACTATTTGTCTGTCCCGTGAAAACTCAAAAAATTATATCCAACAATTTTCATACCGTGAAAATAGCAACGACGGTATTAAAAACCGATTGCGAGCGACAATGCGATTTTCAAGGTTTAAATGCGATAATAATAATAATAACAATAATTACAAACGCGTTACATAAATGCGTTGAGTTACGTGTAGGTATTATTATTTTGTTTGCATCAACCGCGAAATTGTCGTAACATATGGATAAACTACGTTGCGGTAATATGAGGTTTTTTTTTATTATTATTATCATATTTCTTTCTTTTTTTTGTGCGCACGACATTCGATCACAAACGTAAGGAATAAACACCTGAGAAGAGAATACAAATCGCGGAGGGGAAAACAATAGAAGCTACGACGATGAATGCAATCAGTTTGTGGACCCCTGGTTTTCCGGGCCGAGAGAAAGCTGCCGAGTTTGATGCGGTGCTTTTCGGAGAATTCTTTCAAAAATACCAGACGAACATCATAATGTCCGAGACGCAGGGCGGTGCGTTTAAACAAACGGCGATGACGTGTTCCTTCGGGGCTGATAATGGAGAGGAGGGCGAGAGAAGCAGCTGTTCTACACTTGTCCAACCAACTACGAGGGTCCCGTCTCGCAGCGTCGGGTTATTCACCCCCGAATCCGTAATGGCGGTGGCCTCAGATGGGGGAGCATCGACGGTGTCAGCTGTTGGGATTTCAATCCCACGCTCGGGCGAAGATACGACGCCGCCGATACTTGCGTAACAGCAACCGCACAAGAAAAGAATATTACACCCATAACCTTTTATTGTCTGCTGGTTACCTGCGGGGGGTTCGAAAGAGGAAAGGAATAAACGACGTAATCGTTTCTGAACGCGTCTCGCAACAAAWAACGACCGATCAAATGCGAGMCAGACATTATTTCACATACCTACCCAAAATTATTATCTACTTTGATTGTTTTGTTCTCGACTACGAAAAAATGTGTACGAAAGAGTCACACACAGACATCTGCTGCTGTTGTGACGGTRTAGTTCAGAGGCGGTCGTTAGATAACGAATGTTTTGATTGCTATTCACACTAAATAATTTACACACACAATCGTAAAAAATGCGACTTCCGGGAAACGAGCRTACCCGTGCTATCGCCGGTCGATAGCATCGGTGAAGGAGGGCGGGCGAGCACCGGAACGAGCTCTCCCGGCCGGTCACCTACGGCGAACGCAACCTGCAACGAAATTATAGAAATCCGTCGGTAATACGACACGGACATGCAAATCCTGTTGACATGGATTCGAGGTGTCGAGGTTTTTGAAAGTTTCATTTCGAAGACAGGGAGCCGGGAGACGGCAAAGAGATTAGTGTTTACAAAAAAATTTACTACGATGTGTCTAGCCCGTCAAACAAAGGGACGGCGATAAGCAACGAATATGGTATCCACATGCGTTTCCAGACGGTTTGGGAACACCGCACGATAGAAACGGCGTGAACGGGAAGCGACGGAACGGCAACGTCGACGCTATTATATTATTATACCGAACGTCACCCCCCCTCCCACCAACACCATAATGGTACGGATTCGAGAAACCAACAACAATTTTTATCTCAAACAAGCAGCTGTTCCTAGGGTACACGTCAAAACGGGTCGGCACGCACAACAATACAGGGTCGTGACCCCTCCCCCACCACAACAATAATGGGTCTCGCGTAAGCTTCGTTATCGGACGGAAGTGCTGGCCTATCGAAGTATAATATACAACCTGGAGGTGGATACTTCATAGTTTGTACTTTGGAGCACCGAGAATGTGCTCGACTACGTCTATACATCTGTGGCTCCTCACCAGCCCCCGTAGGCCGGGGCCAGGTGTTMACATTTGAGCAGGGGGTTGGCCCCGTCCGTTAAAAGGAAGGACACAGAGGTAGCAGCGTAGAGAGCGAAGGAAAATAAATGGAAATTAGTCTCACCTTTCGCGGTACAACAGGCATATCCGCTCTTTGGGCACTCTCAACCGTTTGGAGATCATTTTCTTCAGACTTTCTACCGAATCGGTCTTGAGCACGTCCAGATCGAACTGGCCGCCGGTAGTCGGCGAGACGGTGATCGTGATCTCAGACTCCCTTACTGCACGATTGGCCATGACGGCCTGGACGGCGGCAGCGAAGATCCTTCCTTCGGGGTYTTTGTCGAAGTTGCCGCTGTCTTCGCTTGTACCGCTTGGGCCCGGCTGGTAGTTGTCGCCTGTCGTCCCCCAGGTCTTCCGCCTTTCAATCTCGGCCTGTAAATCAAGGTACTGCTTGTTTTCCATATCTAAGGTACGAGATTTCGCCGCTCGTTTAGCCGCCACAACAGCGGCCGCTCTTCTCGCCACTTTGGCCGCTGCAGCCGCGGCCGCGGCGGTTACGACGTCGTTGTTGTTGTCCACCGCGGCGGTGCAGCACCCCGATTTCGGCTCACCCGCGTCGTTGTTGCTACTGCTGCTACTACTGCCTTCCATTGTGTCTCGTTAGGTTTTAATATTACGATAATATCAAACACAAATAATAATTAATCTRTAGTATATTATATGGACAGGGTATAGRAGTTTGAGTGTAAATGCAAGAGTGTATTTATTATTAATAAATTATAATAGATGGTTATTATTTTACGAACGAGAACGCAAAATCCGATGACGTCGAATATCACAGACGCGAATCGGACGCCATGGCGGAGGAGTGACACTGCATGGGCGGCGGCGGCGGACACAAAGGACGCGAACAACACTCGACGAGAGAAACGTAGAAATATAATAATAACAAAAAAACAAAGTAATAATAAAAAATACGCGTTCTCGAGTSTGCGTTGAACGACGGTGGTGACGACTGACGAGACTACTAGAGAACTAGACTAGGCGACTGCCGACTACACGACCGTACGACGCCGTCGGATCGTGAAAAGAAAAGAGTGGAAAAGAAAGGAAGACGCGATGGCCGCAAAACTGAGGCAAGTCTGTCGCCGAGTCGCACGTCGAATTTCCCGCCAGGAGCGTCGCCGTCGCCCGACTCTGGCTACACTGCGCTAAGTCTAGTCTCGCTTCACCGATAGATTGCGCTCCGTGCATATAATTGTCCACGTTGACATGATAGAGAGCCAAGAAATTTAATACAAATTATATTATGTTAAATCCAAAATCCAAAAAAGTAGTAAAAGACAAAAGTAGTAGCAATTATTAATTAATGGTACTATATTATAATTTATAATAACAACAAGTCGACGCGACAACTATTAACTATTACAACAACTTTTTCGGTGTGTTTATAGATAAAATGACAATATTTTAATAATTTTATGGTGTTGAATTTTTAATACGAATCGTCGGGATCAATCAATCCATTGGCCTGTCTTATTTTTCTTGATCATAGTTCGAGATTGAATAACTTTCAGAACAAAGTACGGATAATATATTAATATATTAATATATATAGAGAATGTCCCGCGAGGATTTACCCATTGCGATTTCTCCTGATATCATAAATCTGTTTTTTTATTAGACTCACATAGACTACCTACATGTATTTTATTTTTTAATATAATTAAATTTTTACTAAAAATGTTAAAATATTATTTTATTATTGCATTATAAAAGAGATTATTTTTCCTGACAATTTTGTCCTTTCAACATTTTATTTTCATTAATCTCTCGATTTTGAATATTTTTTTAGTTAATAGATCAAACCGCAAGAAACTGGTTTTTTATCTGGGAGGCAAGCCCTCCTCAACGGCTAATGGGCCTCAAAGCACACTGTATATATCACAATTCACATCTACCGAATGATCCTCGAAATTCGTTGGGCCAAGCAGCCGGAACAAGTGTAATTTTATTCCACCCCAGGGTAATGGACATCATCATTCATCAGTTATGGGTTTTTTTCGCCCCAGTTTGGGCGCGTACGAATTTTAATTTTTAATTTAATTCAATTTAATTGATCTTTGAATATCGTCGATAGTGATAATAAAATTGTATATTTACTATTTAGTATATCTGCGTTGTCCCTCGACCATCATACCACCATTGATCAAAGATCAAACACACACCCACAGACCACTTGAATTATATATTATTATGGCGSCTGTTACCTATTCATAAATCATAATATTACCTTATCAGCATTCAACACTGAGCAACAACCACGTTTTTTTATCTTTATTATTGTTCTGTGATAATTTCAGACTTTCTTATCACACTTACCGTAAAAACTAAAAATTCAAGGTTTGAAAATAATTCAGCTCAGCTGTCACCGTGAAGCTTCGGAACTGAGGAAATAAATAGCTTTTCCTACTTTCCTAGTTATCTGATTCTGATACAAGTTGGCAGTTGCACAACACTAGCAGTCAGTACTCACTACTCAGTAGTCATTAGTCAGTAGTCACTTGTTAGCTTGATTGTTAGTTGTTTGTCAGTGTTAGTACTCAGAAGTACTTCTGTTGTACAATCGCCAGTTTACCAGTTTTTTTTAAATTTTTTATTTCGTCTTAAAATTTGTTCAACGTAATTTGTTACGGCCATTTTTTACACTGAGTTATACTGTCATTATTGTGTGTTACCTAATTTAAACCTACACAATGGATAAATACGATAAAGCCTCWCAGCATATTAAAGGTAAACAAAAAGATTTTCGATTAAGGAAAATACTGCCTACTAATATCACTTCTACTACGCCTCAGAGAATTCCCAATAAATGATGATTAAAACATTCAGATTATACATGCATTATGTAGATATAAGTCATTCTTGCGGACAGGTGTATTTTTAAAAATGCYCCTGTTTATTGTACTTATTCACATATGGTAGATAAGTTATTAACTACAAAAATAATATTGGTATTATTCACTAAAAATATTGTATGTGTAGAAGTATAGAAGTTTAAAATAATAATTTATATAGGTATTTATATATTATTTCTAATTTATTCATGCATACTGAAAAGGTATTGTGTTTTATTTTTAGTAAAATACTTTTTTTTTTTTACTTTTTCCCACATCTTTTGGTAGTAAAAATTGTATGTATTAAACTACTTATTACCACCATTGATGGTGGATAATCTAAAATTCCCTTTTAATCTTTATACTACAATTTTCTTTAAATATTATAAATAATAACAATAATAATWATTATTATTTAATTAAAATACCCAGTAGGTGAAATATCATTATATACTAAGGCTTGTCCATATGTATGATTATTGATTAGTTATATGTATAACATATACAGAATGTAACAGAAAGACCTGAAAAAAAAATGTATGCTAGTTAAACGTATGATAAAAATTGTTAATATTATACGATCAATTAATAATTTAAGAAATACGCTCATATCAGCAAATTCTCAAAAATCAAATTTTTTTAAAAATTGTTACATTTCAAATTAATTTAACCAAACAATATTTATAAAAAATAAACTATTTGACTTAGATAAATCCTACCATCAAAATTATTCTTATAATCAAATTCACAAWTAGGCTATTTTGAATTCATCCAAATTTTTTTTATCTTCAGTACTAAAAAATATACATAAAAAATGTATTATACATGTAGTACTTAGGTCACTTAAAGAAAAAAAATATTAATTTGAACAAAAGTCATTCCAAAGTCAGTTCTATTTATTATACCTTGTATAGTTGTATAAATAGTACGTTTTCATATCTAGTGTTTAGTATTTAGCAATCTTATGGTAACAAGTAAATCAAGCGAATTTTAAGAAAATACGTAGTTTTACCTATTCTAATTCTAGAACTATTTTTGACTTAAAATATTTCAAGTGTTTTGTTGCTTATTTTAGATTATTTCAGTGAATTGTATAATTTTGAGTAAAAAAATAATTTAAAAGTTAAGTTAATTTAACTGCAACAKTTTTTATTTTATATTTTACATATGTGAATAACTAATCTTATACTGTAAATTTGACATAATTTTGCCAGTGTAACTGTGTAATAAAGATTTATTTCCAGCCCCTAAAATAATACAACTTTTTACTGTTGCAAAGAAATACAATTATAATGGCTTAAGCCTTATAGTTATATTGAATAATTTGTGAAGTTTATTTTAATTGCTAATTTATTTTGAATTACAGATTCCTTGAACACTAAAAATTTAGCTGAATGTCTGTCTCAAACAGGACGATTTTCATATTGTGCATTATGTGCAACTTCATTAAGTTGCCTGTATAAATATCCAGCACATGTAGATTTTAAGCTGAACTGTTTACGTATGATATGTAATCATTTAAAACTAATGTTACAACTACCTACTATGCGAGAGATGGCCAATTGTGAACTTCCCTTAGATGCCAAAGTATATGTTAGAGCTCTAAAAAAAGAAGAAGTACTTAAAGAAGGCATGATGATTATTGTACAAGACCTTCTATTGCTGGCCATTTCAAATGGTAAAATTTATTTAATATTATTTATTTTTTGAACTATTTTTATTATAAAACAATTATATCTATAAAATAAAATATTTTAAATGCAAACAAAAGGATTTAAGGTAGGTAAGTATCAAAGTATTTTTGAATTGCTATTTATATTAGGATTTGTTTGAAAATGAAATGTTTTAATTTTCATAAAAAAAAATAAAAAAAAAATAATTGTTCAATTTTTTTTTAAATTTATGTGAGCAACATAAAATAAATAATTTTTTTTATAATTTTATGAATAATTTAAAATTATTAAAAAAGAATTATTAGTACTGTAACTTAAATTGCTTCTTTTGTAAAATCGTCAATTTTTTCTGTATCATATTAATTACATTTAATGATATAAAAACATATAATCATCGTTTTATTTTCTAGGTATCTATGATGCTCGTTGGAGAGTCCTTATATTATATGTTACTCGTGTATTTGATCTTGATTTAAGTGTAGTAGATAATTTTGAATTAAGTGTTGTAAATTGTTTATCAAATTTTCTACCAGTTCAAACTGAGTAAGTATTTTTTTTTATTTATTTAAATATAATGAACTGTCCTTATGCCATTTTCAAATTAAGACAAGAACAGGTTGATGCTGCTCGTCGTATTCGTATATCTAAGACTAAACGTTATGCAATGATTGGATTTGCATCAGTTGGTGGTGGAATTCTCCTTGGTTTAACTGGTGGATTGGCTGCTCCTCTTATTGGTGCTGGATTATCTGGTATCATAGGAACATCTGTTGTCGGAGCTATAGGAACAGTAGGTGGTACAGCTATTGTCGGATCACTTTTTGGTGTTGCAGGAGCTAGTTTAACTGGTAATGATAAGTAAAAACAAAAAAAATTATGAAAATTATGAAAATAGTTTAAATTATGTATATACTGAAGCTGTATTTATATATTTCAGGATATAAAATGCATAAAAGAGTTGGGGATATAGAAGAGTTTCAATTTCGTAAACTGTCAACAGAAACAGAAACTGGAGATATTCACTTACATATAACTATTGTAATATCTGGATGGTTAAATGATGATATTGAAACCAGCTATTGTCAACCTTGGGAATATCTTCGAGTATAAATCCATTATAACTTACGCATTTATTTAATAAATATCATAATTAGGTCGTTTTCCTTAAATATCTCATATAGGCCTGCGCGATTATTATTTTTTGTTACAATCAATTATCAATATTATAGGTTTTAATTGATTTTACCAGTTAATCGGACATCCTATTAATCATTAAATTAATTCATTAATCGATTTCTAAATAATACGTTAATTTCATAATTCAACAATTGAGCTAAATAGCCGATTAATTCAAAAATAAATAATATGGTAATAAATCTAAATTATATTACCCTAATATAATGGATATTGGATAGTCAAAATTACAATTTTTATTATTATCTTTATTTATTATACTCTGTTTACTGATTGTACATGACAAAACACTTATACATGTAACACTTGTAAATTATAAAACATTTAAAAAAAACTCTAAAATAAATAAGAAACTATTAAAACATATTAAGTAATATCATATATATTATAAATAAAAGAAAAACAAAGGAACTGTTTAAAAAAGTAGTGTAGATATAGGACTATTATAGAACTACCTAAAATTGAAATATCATAAATCTCTTATAATCATTTGCTAAGAAATAATATAACCAACATTTTAATTATTTGATACAACTAAAGTTATACCTTCTACATATATTTTAGCGGCTTCAGTTTTAAGTTGATTAACCTGATAAATGTATGATAACTTATGAAATTTATAATCATTTATTCAAATTAATTGATTATTGACTAATCAATTAATAATTGATTGATATTAATCGATTTAATTGTAAAAGCAATTAATCGGGGTTTTAAACTATTGTAATATCACCGATATAACTGATTAAGAGGACGCCACCCCCGCATGTGTTGTCTCCGTCTTACAAACATATAACATAGCAAAATCTGTTTAGCACGGGACAACTTTTCTCCCTCAATATTTATAATAGAATTTTCAAAATTTCACAACGCATAGGTAAGAACTTTATCTGTTTCATAGCGTTGTTACTTTTTTGATAGCACAAACCAATCATTTTAAGTAATTTAATTAAAAAATAAATGTATTTTCTTAAGCTTATAACTTTAATTATATTTATGTTATCAAAAAAATAACAACGCTATGACACAGATAAAGTTCTTACCTATGTGTTGTGGAATTTTAGTAATTCTACTATAAATACAAAGGGAGTAAAGTTGTCCCGCGCTAAACAGATTTTGCTATGTTATACATTTGTAAGACGGAGACAACACATGCGGGTGTGGCGTTCTCTTAATTATTTGGATAATCAATTAATTTTTATAACCGCGCAGGCCTAGTCTCATATCTTGAAAATGTATTTCTAAAAAAAATTCTCTTTATAGTTCTATAGTATCAATAATATTAAATTTCAAGAAATACATTTTTAGCACAATTCCATATGAAAAAAGTGCATTATTGTTAGATACAAATAGGACGTATGGTCGTTGCCGCTTATTTGACTCACATTGGGACCATCATCTAAATTAATCAAAGGCAAAAATTCCCCAAACAAATTAATAAACATAATATTCTTATTTACTAAAAAATATATATTGAGTACCAGCTATTATGTAATTAAATTTATAATGATAAAATACTATAATAATTTATAAGTTCTTAATTAGTTTTTGATCAAAGTCCATCCATATTTAATTGGATTTTCCCTTCTTTAGTTCAAAATAACTGATCAATAAGTAAAAAATAAATTTTTTGTTTTATATAGTGTGTACTTAAATTCTTTTCTTTTTTTTAAATACTTAAAACAGGACATATTTGGGTAATTTAGTACACATTATACATAACCATTTTACTGTTCAAAGTAAAAATAATTTAATTAAATGTATAAAATTCTATAATATGTATTTCTAACATAAATTTATTTGCCATTAATTTTAAAGTACTTATTTACATACTATTCAGAGTCACAAACACATTTTACAAATATGTCGAGAATAACTTTTTAATTTATCAATTAAATTAAACTTAATTTTTTAGGACAGTCCAGAACAGTATTACCTACGATATGAATCATCTTATCTGTTAGAGTTTGGAAAAGCTATGGAATACTTTTTTAGTTTTGCTGTTTCTGTAGCTGTTCAAGAATCTCTGAAGTACACTGTACTCTCAGGTCTGATGGCAGCTATTGCATGGCCTGCAGGACTTTTAGGATTGGCTTCTGTCATTGATAATCCATGGGGTGTGTGTTGTCGACGATCAGCACAAGTTGGAAAACAATTAGCTGAAACTCTACTTTCACATAGTCATGGTAATCGTCCAGTAACATTGATTGGTTATAGCCTTGGAGCTCGAGTTATCTATTATTGTTTACGAGTAAGTATTCATTATTTATAATAAAATGTAATATGTGATTTACAAATTATTCTATTTTAGGAAATGTCTCAGAGAGAAAAATGTCAAGGTATTGTCCAAGATGCTATCTTAATAGGCACTCCGTGTACTAGAAATTCTTCAGATTGGAACAAAATTTCAGAGATTGTGGCTGGAAGAGTGGTGAATGCATATTGCAGGTATATTTAATATTTAAGTCAATCAGTAGTAATTATAAAATAAGTAATAATAATATGATACTTATTTTTACCTTAATTTAAATTTTAGGAGTGATTGGTTCCTAAAATTTCTGTATAGAACACTTTCTATGCACGCAAATGGAGTAGCTGGTCTTCAAGCTATTCAATCAGTTAGTGATAGAATAGAAAATATTGATCTGACCAATATTGTTTCAGGTAAAATTAATTTTAAACAATATTATTTTAATGATACACAAATCAATCTCAATAAAATCTTGTATTAAATGCATTGTTAATTCTTAGGACATTTTGAGTATCCACAAAAACTTACAGAGATTTTAATGTACATTGGAGTTAATGTAGATAAATCGGCTAAACTTCAATTAATAACTACACAATCTATGCCAGAAAAAATGTCTGAACATTTGAAAATAAACGTGAGTATATCAATAATTAAGAATTTTTTTTCCACCTATTTAACTATTTTACTGCATTTTCCTTCAAGACAAAAACTAGAACTTTTGGTTTTGGCCACATACATTTTTAAAATGTAATATTAGTTTATTTAAAACAGTATTTAAATCAAAATATTATGTTTTAAACTTAAAAAAATTAGTCGAGCAGTTGTCACCCACCAGTGAGGCCTAATGAAAAAAGGGTAACTTTCTTCAATCCCGCATTTTTAAGTGCCTTGAAATTTGGGACTACTCATTTTTTTTTAAACTTAAGAAACAATAAAAAAAAAGAATTTGATGAACACACCAGAAATTATACTCCTAACAGCTAGCTCTCTGACAAAGTGTATGATAGATGGTCAAAAAAAATACAATGCCGTACAATTTAAAGGAATAATGACTTACATATATATAAAATTATTTTTTGAAATTAATACATGTTTTATTATTTAGGATAATTATACTGTCAAAAAATCAAAATCAGTAATTGATCTAGCAGTTCTAGACACCAAAACAAATGTTGCACAGTGACTGTTTTTTTAAGTAAAATATATTGAGCTTATTTCTTCACTTCAATATCATATTAAGTTCTTTATTGAAATTTATGTTTAAGAAAAAAATATTTTAAATTATTGTGTTACAATTTTTAAGTTTATGAGCATAATTCATTATAACATGGTGCTTTAAAAATGATTCTTACAAAGCAGCTTATTTTGAATTCTTGATTACATTAACAAACAAATTATTCAGAGCCTCCTTTACTGTTGGTTAAACAAGGAAGAAAACCAACAAATAATGTTTTTATAAATTTATTTGATAATGTAATAAAAAAAAAATWTTTTTTTCTTATAAATATAATAAGTAGCTATAGGTTATAAACGATTAGGTGATAAAAATTAAAAWGTATTAACTCTAAGTGTTCCTATTACTTTTAATAACATGTTCCAAAGATTTAATATCTATATTATTTTTTAAATATATATTTAATTGGGGTATTATGATTTTTAATTAATATACACAACTTTCTACAAATGGAAATCACTATATCTGAGATCATACTTTTATTTAATTCAATAATGAAGAAACATATTTTCTTAAGCAATAACCAGTTCCTCAAATTTTTACTATTTTATAAAATTCTTTAGTCATCCTTTACTTACTAGCTTTGAATTAGGAGGTGAACACCTCATAATGGTTTATCAAAATATTCTTTTTCTTTCAAATATGACCCCATAATGACATTATCATTTTTACATTATTTAAAACTTTTAACTAAGCATTCTTTTATGTTAGAAAATCCAATATCTCTTTTTCTTTTGCGATAACTAGAAAAATTCAGATAAGTTTCTCTTGTATTTTTAATTTTGGTATACAGTGTTCTTGCTGGTATTCTAAATTCTTCTTTCTTCCAATTTTTTCTGCTTCAAGCACCCTTTTATATTCATCATTAGTTTAGTTTTCAATGAACTAGGTATCTTTGGATTTGTATTAAGTAATATAACCATGCATATGACCGATAAATTATAATTAACCATACCTAATTGTACAAAACTAAAATTATGATAATTGATATCAAACACAATTGATTTAATTACTCTGTTAGTTAATTTTATATAAATTACTCAAAAAAGACCATATTTTTATGTCATTTTTTTCAGTTTATAGATGTTTATTTATTGTTAATAACTATATGTTGTTATAAGTAGAAAAAGTAAATTTAACGAATACATTTAGCAAATAAAGAATTTTTAGGTATTTCTGTGAATTCTCAATCAATTTAAAGCATGTAATACTGTTTAATATTACCATTATTGTCCACTATTTTTAATTAACCATTAATTTATATAATTGTTTTCMATTAATATTTTTTATATTTATGATATAAAAAAAGTTATTATGTGTTAAGTTATCATTAACTAAAAATTGGGTAACATTATGATTTAGCTCTTTTAAATTATTTATATCACCAACACTATGAATTGGGTATTTTCTTTATATAAATGTTTTTGTTTGTTCACTATTTTTTACACTATTGAATAAACTATATACTAATCAAGTAAATGTTTGTCTTTAAGTTTGTTACTATTATACTATTCTGTGATAAATATTATGTATACACTTCCAYAAATTAATTTTGTAAATAAAACAAAACAATTACAATTAAATTTTTAAATTTTTTTCAAATAAGCAATTATTTTTTATTGTAATCAAGATATTTATATTTATCTAAAACGGACGTTTAAAATGATTTAGTTAATCAAATGTATGTTACAACATTTATAAAATACCATAGCTTAATTTTTGTACAAAAAGTATTATACAATGCATCACACTGTCACTGTATACATGCTTTGTATATTAAATAACATTATTACATATACGGTTGGAAAAAAAATTAAATAAAGAGAGTACAAAATTAAAGTAAATCATGACTAAGTAACAAAAAAAAAAAAAAAATACATAATTACATAAATAAACATTTAAGAAATTATTGAATTAATATTGTGTTAATTTTTGTATTATTGTAAGCGTGACTTATTTAATAAATGGTAAATATTTTAAAAGGTAACAATATGTCATTTATGTATTTTCACTATATTTTAATTTTATTGTATAATATCTTATAAATAATAATATATATATTATATACTTTCATGTTTTTTTTTTCTGGAATGTGTTGTTACTTTTATAATGCACTTGATTGAAATATTGAATAAACTAATCATGATTGGRTACAATAATGTTTGTTATAAAAGTGCTTATATATGACTAGAGGCAGCGGCAAACAGTTGTAACTAATTTAATGTTTAATGTGATGTCTATAAATAACATCCTTCTGTGAATATATTTGATGTGCCTAACTGCTTAATGAAGCCATAGGCGAGGACGGAGACATTGGTGACCGATTACAATCACTTGCAGATGAATTTGGTGATCCATTTAATGTAATTACTAGCTTTCGACTACCAGCTTGATTTCGATGTTCACATAGCCAAATACCTTGCCATGTGCCAAGATTCAATTTTCCTTCAGTAATGGGTATTGTTATTGATGAACCGAGAAAACATGCTTTTACGTGGGCTGGCTAAAAATAATAATTACTATTTATTAACTATTTTAATAAAATAAAGAAACCTGTTTATTATAAAAAACTTKTAATTTAATATGTTGAACATCATGCGGCCTCTAACAGTCACACAATATGCCATAATCATACGAAAAATAAATTTTCAGTGTCATTCCTAATTCGTATATTATACTATGTATTTGCGAAAAGTTTAAAAATATAAAATACATTTTTTAAATAATTAATTACATCACAAGATTTGTAACGATTCCCGCTACGCCACAGCACTTTTTTAGGTGCATTATTGTAGTGCCATAACAATATAACAGTATAGTTAACAATATAAAAACCATAGTCAGTTAAGGTCGCCAGTGGTCATGTGATTCTAATGATCAACTACAGCTACTGGTGATCGCAAAAGTATAAAATTACAAAAATTATAAATGACTGCTGGTGGCCGCATGGCAGTCAACGTRTTAAATTTTTTTTAGTTATTTACCATGTCATCTGGTCCTTCACACGAATGTCGATAAGGTAAACCCTGAAAAACAAACATAGTAGTTAATAAATATGTGAATTACATACTAATATTAAAATGTTAATTATACCTAAACAGTTTTTAMTAAATATATGTATTCATCCCAAATACCTGTTTAAAATGAATAATGATTTCAAATATTATTATTATGGCCTATGTTGCTCATTATTTTTAACGCTATAATTTTGTAGACTATAGTTTAATAACATTAATAGTAATAAAACAATTTATCCTAATTATCTTAATCTGAATAAATGACTGTAATCTGTAAATTTCTGAAAAATATTTTTCGATAAGTAGCCAAATTCCTATGGATTAAGTTTAACCGACTAAAAACAATCAATTAAAAAATATATAGCTGGAAAACACAATCATTTCAATTTTTTTTTTAAATATTCATTTTCTACTGTAGAAGAGTAAATTCTATAGGAGGCTATTGAGTCCCTAAGAAATGTATTAGTTTAATATTTGGAATTTTGATATTTAATAGTTTAATACTCATTTTAACTTTAATGGCTATTAGATTTTATCACACTTACTTCTGGTACAATTTTATTCAACATCATCTCCATGTCATCTCTAAACAAATAATTAAACTTGTTTAGTATCTATTTTTCTACAGAACAATAATTTTAAATAAAATATGAATAAAATGGATATCTTTTTATTTATTACTTCCCATTTTATTTTACAATATATGTATATAATATTCTTACCGAACATTTGGATCCCAACTTTCATTAATGGCAAGGCTAGCTGATGTATGCAAAACTAAAAAAGTAAAAATTAATTTTTAGTTTATTTCAGWATAAAACTAGTGTCTGATCTATGCTATCAATGTTTCTCATTTTTAATTAAAATTTTTTTAATATGTACAGAAATAAAAAAGGTCAACCATATTTACTCATTTTTAAAACAAAACCCTAATTTTTTAACTCAAATTTTCCATCATTTTAATAACTTTCTTAATTTTTCTGTTTATGGTTTTTCAATTCTATTCTGGTTAATCAGACATGAGTCTGCTATACTAATCGATACCTTATAACACAAATTTTAAATTCGTTAATATTTTACTTCCTATTTTAGTGAGTAAGCAGAATTTTTACTGATAAAAAAATCATATAAGATATGTAAAAAGTCAAAAATTCAGTGTGAATCAGACTGCTTTCTAATTGGTTAAAAAATCAAGCAACATACAATTATTTTAATTTACTATAAAGAAACTAATAACTATAAAAGCTATTATTTTAAACACAAAAATAAAAGTTTTAAATGTAAGCATTTAAATTTAGTTCTTATATGATTATAAACAAATAAAGACAATTTAAATGTTTTATGACTTTGTATAAAAATTATTATATGAGCTATGAATAAATGTTGAAAAACTAACTTTAAATGACAGAGGTAATACAATTCATTAATCAAGTTAATTAAGTTTAGTAAAAACTAAAAATACCACGTATAATTTGATTAACAATTTTCATGAGTGCTTAATATGCATAGGAAAATTTATAAAAAATCACATTCTCTTATTTAGAAGTATTTTGCTATAAATATCATACAAAATGTTATATATAAATAATGTATTAATAATTAAAATATCATAATTCTCAACCTAATATTGACTATAAATGTATTACTAAATTGTATTATTTGTGATGTACCTACTGCGGATATATCATTAATTCATGTATGTATAGTGTGTATTATAGAAAATAGCAAAGACGTGTATAGAATATTTTGAATGCTCACTTTGTATGTGACATAAACCAACTGAGAATTGAGAWATTTCTGGTATTTGTTTAAGAATTTCTTCTGTTACTAAATGTACKCCCCTGTGTTGTGGTCTTAGATTGATTTTGCGTTGAAACCACGCAGAACCAATTTGAATTCCTCGACTCGATGATGCCATTCCAAAATATTTGCATTCACAATAAAATGTATAGACTGTTGGTAAAAAATAGATAGTACAAAATACACAATATAGTAAACATATAAATTTACATGATTTAATAATTTTTCAGTAACAATATAATGGGTAAGTGAATAACAAATTAGTTGTCCAAAGGACAAAATTATCACTTACAACAGTCATCGCTTAGTATACATTTCGAAGTGAGTGTTTAACGTTCAATGTCCAATTAGTGTAGATAATAAAATAAATAAATTTAWTTGGAATTCATAAAGACGCAAATTTGTTTGATTTCGTAACTAATCTAAAAAGGTTAAAAATTCTTAAAGACAAGATTATCACGCAAAAAAAATATATCAAAACAAATTTTCAGACAGTGTTACTTTGGGAAACACTAAATTCCCATTTTCCGATCATGGTTTTGCCAACCGTTACTGATCAGCAGCAGGGCGCCATTAAACTTTTGAATTTTGCAAAATTKTAYGTATTGTAAAGTAATTTATGTGCTTTTATTATATTATTAAATTATTTAAATTAGTTCTAATTTTTCAATTACAAATTTAAATGATTAATCTAATTAACTGGGTGTCCTGCAGGGTGGCTCGATAGGTACWCTATCGTGTTTAGTCGTACTAATAGTATCCATTTAATAAAGAAGAATAGCAAATAAATTRAACATATAATAATTCAATCAAAAAAGTTGTATCTATGATAAAATAATTTTACTTTAATTTTTCATATATGTTCATTCCACGGCTCCCCCGTTTCTTGACATCATTTCAGTGGCACTCAAATTATTAGTAAGTACGTAGAGAAAAACAAAATTGATCGATTAATTATACATTTAGAATTTTTATAGTATAAATACTAAAATGTATAACTCAAGATTTGAAGATAAATTTAGTAGTAATTATGCATAAAAAATTGATGTTAAATGTTTTACTCTTTGAATAAAATAATATTGCAGTCACGAGTCACATACTAGCTGCATGGCACAGTTTAAATATTAAATACCTGTGCAT